CACTTAGGCTACTCCGTCCATCACAGAGTAGAATGTGGAGTCGGCCACAAAAATCACAGAAACCGTGTGTGGGCCCCCAGCCTGGCAGGAGGGAGGAAGTGAAATCGGGGGTGCACCCAGTAGAGACACCTCCCCTACCCCAGACCTGCTGGGCCCTCTGCAGTCTCCTCCTCTTGCCCTGAGGGATCTGTGGGGATTGCTCCCGCATGAGGCCCCTGGGAAATGGGCCTCGCCATACGGTGAGCTTGAGCTCCGACACAGATTCCTGGTTGGGGGAGTTGAGCTGAGGGAAAGTAGGAACCGAGAGAGGAACTATATGTTATTCAAAATAATCAACAGACATTACTTTATGGATACGAGGACTTGGGAGGCATTGTGTCCACTTTTGGCTCCTTATGGTTTATTGCTTGATTGTGTTCATTTTGTACTCGTGTTACCTTCATTGTAAAATATTAACTTAAATATTTACACTTGGTAACTTACCGTAACTTACAGGGCATAACTGTAACTTACTTACCATAGCTTACAGGGCGTAACTGTAACTTACTTACCATAGCTTACAGGGCGTGACTGTAATCTACTTACCTTGACCTATTGGGTGTAACCTACTTACTGGGCGTAGCCTACTTACTGGGCTTAATTTACTTACTGGGTGTAACTTGCTTACTGTAACTTAAGTATGTTAATCTGGCGTAAACAACTTTAACTTAAGAAAAGTATATAATGAAACACATTGCAAAAATAAAATTGCTGCATGAGCATAGCGCATGTAGCCCTCCAGACCTCTCCTTTTCTATCTCCTTTTTTCCGGCGCGCGCTCTCTTCCAGGTTTGGGACCCTCTCGCTGGACGAGATTCCCGGGCTCGCGTTCAGTTCACAACATTGCCCGGCCAGTGTTCACAGTGGGGGCACGCTCACTGACCTCTCACTTTGCTTTCCCTCCTCTCCCTGGCCCCCGGGGACTCCCTGTCTGCCAAGTGATACAATGCACACCTTCAACCTAGCACGTTCCACCCTGACACAGCGTCACTCCACTCCACGTGTGTCTAAGAGCCACAGTGACTCCATCGCCCCTTCCTGCTCTTGGTGCTGGCTTGTTTTTTTTTTTTGTTTGTTTGAGACAAAGTCTTGCTCTGTCGCCCAGGCTGGAGTGCAGTGGTGCAATCTCCAGTCTTTCATTTCCAGAAATTATGATTGGTTTTTCTTTAAAATATCTCTTTAGAAAATAGGCCGGGCGTGGTGGCTCAAGCCTGTAATCCCAGCACTTTGGGAGGCTGAGGCGGGTGGATCACGAGGTCAAGAGATCGAGACCATCCTGGTCAACATGGTGTAACCCCGTCTCTACTAAAAATACAAAAAATTAGCTGGGCATGGTGGCGCGTGCCTGTAATCCCAGCTACTCAGGAGGCTGAGGCAGGAGAATTGCCTGAACCCAGGAGGCGGAGGTTGCGGTGAGCCAAGATCACGCCATTGCACTCCAGCCTGGGTAACAAGAGCGAAACTCCGTCTCAAAAAAAAAAAAGAGATAAAATGCACAAACCTGCCACGGGGTTCCGAGGACAAGCCAGCGGCCAGTGGATCCCAAGATCCCGGGAGGGAGTCTGTGTTCCTTGTTAGGAGCGCTTCTCCAGCACACATGTATGAACTGGATTCTGGAACATGGTGGGATGTGGAGATGCAGGTGGAAGTCCTTTCCAAATGCCAAAGTCACCACAAGCCAAGGCCAATCAAGGATCAGATTGGGAGTATTCTTAAGAATAGGCTGGGCGTAGTGGTTCGCGCTGGTAATCGCAGCACTTTGAGAGGCCAAGGCAGGTGGATCACCTGAGTCCAGGAGTTTGAGACCAGCCTGGGCAACATGGTAAAAGCCCATCTCCACTAAGAATACAAACAATTAGTCGGGTGTGGTGGCATGTGGCTGTAATCCCAGCTATGCAGGAGGCTGAGGTGGGAGGATCACCTGAGCTAGGGAAGTTGAGGCTATAGTGAGCCGGGATTGTGCCACCGTTCTCCAGCCTGGGTGACAGGAGTGAAAAGTGTCTCAAAAAAAAGAATGGCTGGTAATTAATGACACGTGCCCACTTTCAGCACTGTTTCTGCAGCCTCAACCTCCCACACTTACGGGGTCCTCCTGCCTCAGCCTCCTGAGGGTAGTTGAGACTACATGCCTGGACCACCATGTCCAGGTAATTTTTAAATTTTTTGTAGAGACCGGCTGTTGCCATGTTGCCCAGGCTGACCTTGAACTCTTGGCCTCGAGTGATCTTCCTGTCTTAAACACACTGGTGGGATTACAGGCGTGAGCCACTGCACTTGGTCGGCTGAAGCATGTTTCTTAAACTTAATTGTTTCTTTACTACTTTTATTAATATTTTCTCTTTTGCTAGGCCCATTTTTAAGGAATGCTTTTTAATACAAGTATCCTATATATCTTGATTGGTTTAATTATTAATTTATTTATTTGTTTTTATTTATTTATTTTTTGAGACGGAGTTTCGCTCTTATTGCCCAGGCTGGAGTGCAGTGGCCTGATCTCAGCTCACTGCAACCTCCTCTCTCTTTCTTTTTCCCTTCCTTCCTTTCTTTCTCTTTCTCTCTTTCTTTTCTTTTTCTTTCTTTCTTTGGTTCTTTCTTTCTCTCTCTCTCTCCTTCCTTCCTTCTTCTCTCTTTTTTTTGAGATGGAGTTTCCCTCTTTTCACCCAGGCTGGAGTGCCGTGGTGCAATCTCGGCTCACTGCAACCTCCATCTCCTGGGTTCAAGTACTTCTCCTGCCTCAGCCTCCCGAGTAGCTGGTACTACAGACGTGTGCCACCACACCTGGCACTACCACACCACAACTGACCATAGCTAGGAACTGGCAGGGCCAGGGTGCTGTGGAGCTGCACCTGAGGTGGGAGTCAGCTAGCTGGAAGGCCACTTTTGAGGAAAGGTGGTATAAGTGCCCCCAGTAACACATCTGATGGGCATGGGGAGGGGGCCACAGGCAGATGGCAGGAACGTGGCTGCAGGAGCTTCAGCCAGAGAGGGAACAGAACCTCTGCGAGGGGCTGGAGCTGTGGGCCCCATGCAGCACCCTGGAACAGGCGTAGCCAAAAAGGGCGTGGCATGGCTGGAGTGCTGCCCAGCACACCAGCGTTTGGAGGGGCACGCCCACCTGTTCACACCAGCGTTTGGAGGGGCACACCCACCTGTTCACACCAGCGTTTGGAGGGCACGCCCACCTGTTCACACCAGCGTTTGGGGGGCACGCCCACCTGTTCACACCAGTATTTGGAAGGGCACGCCCACATTTGGGAGCAGACACTTCAGAAGCACTTAGTAAACACTAGCCCCTGTTTTACTGACTAATGTTAGTCAATGTGAAAGGAAAGTAAACCTTGGGACCCCAGCATTACTAAGTTATTTATACCAAAGGGAATAAGCAGGGAAACGCGCGGGGCGAACCTGCCTCCAGCTCTGCTCAGTCGCCCTCGGCTCACTGAGGTCAGTGTATACGTGACTGCTCCCCCACCTGTGGAAGGCCCCGCCCTGCATCACGTTGCCCTCTTTCAGAGGAAACCAAAGCACACCTGTATTAGTCCGTGTTCACACTGCTATCAAGACACCCCGAGACTGGGTCATTTATAAGGAAAATGGGTTTAATGGACTCATAGTTCTGCAGGGCTGGGGAGGCATCAGGAAACATATAATCGCGGTGGAAGGGGCAGGGGCATGTCTTACGTGGTGGCGGCAAGAGAGAGTGGTGAGCGAAGCGGGAGGAGCCCCTGATAAAACCATCAGGTCTCATGAGAATCCCTCACTATCACGGGGACAGCACAGTGGAGACCACCCCCGTGATCCAGTCACCCCCCCCACCAGGCCTCGACCCGGTTGCACGGGGATTATGGGGCTTGCCATTCGAGATGAGATTTGGGTGAGGACACAAAGCCCAACCATATCAACATCTGACATGTATTGATTGATGTCTCGTGCCTCCCTAACATGTGAACCAGAGCTGTGCACTGACCACCTTGGCCACACGTCACCAGGCCCTCCTAAGGCTGTGCCACAGGTGTGCGTCCGTAACTTTGGGAAAATAAACTTCCTAAACTGACTGAGACATGTCTCAGATATTTGAGGTTCATATCAAAGACCAGGGCAAATGCCCAGTCATGAGCATGGGTCCGTGGAAAGAGATGGGGACAGGCCACTCGTCTGGCCCAGCAAAGCCAGCTGGGACCCCACAAGCTCCAGAAGGGGGCAAGGTCCCACCTCATGAGCAGACTCTGCACTCACTGGTCTGGGGGGGCTGTTCGGAGGTGCAGGCAGTTGGCATTGGCAACGGGACCACAGGGGAATCGTGCACATCCAAACTGAACGCTTCTCAGGACAAACATTTTAAAATTTCACCTAAACCATGACCCCTTCATTATTCAGGTCATAGAATAAATGGTTGTCTGCTTTGCTGTGAAATGGCTTGCCTCTCAGCAGGCTGCCTGCTGTGTGTATTCATCAGAGTTCAGTTACAGACCGTCTGGCGTCCGTGCGTGTCCCAGCTGGGCTGGTGTGTGCTGTGACGGTTGTCCGTGCCTGGGATCTACTGGACCCCCCAGGAGAAAGCTTCCTTTGTGGACGGCACGGCCACTTCCACTTGCACGGCCCTGGCAGGGCGCAGGGAGCTGGCGTTTGCCCGGGTCCCTCGGCCGCAGGGACAGGTGCTTCACATTCGTTTCCCATTTTACCCTCACAATGACTCTGCTGTCAGTTCTGATTCTGAGTCCCTCCAGAGGTCAAATGAGGCTGGGAAGCTGGGTGACCTGGCAGGGACCTGGCCATCGCAGGGAGGGGGCTGCGGACGGAGCCAGAGGCTTGACGTTATTCCTGGGAGACGGGAAAACATCCAGTTTGAAGACCAGGAATCGGCACATCTGGACCGGTGGGGCAGGGAGGGGCTTTGAGAACATCCAGGGGCCTCCCACCTGCCTGGACTTCCATGCCCGTTCCCTCCCAGCAGCTCTCTGATCAAAGTCTCTGTGTAAGCAATGGTCCCTGACGGCTTTAACTGGGGTTGGAGGAAGGATGGGCTGTCCCTCCTATTTAATCTTTTTTCTTTTTTTAGACAGGGTCTTGCTCTGTCACCAGGCTGGAGTGCAATGGCGCGATGTCGGCTCACTGCAACCTCCGCGTCCTGGGTTCAAGGGATTCTCCTGCCTCAGCCTCCTGAGTAGCTGGGACTACAGGTGTGTGCCCCCACGCCTGGCTAATTTTTTGTATTTTAGTAGAGATGGGATTTCACCATGTTGGCCAGGATGGTCTTGATCTATTGACCTCATGATCCACCTCCCTCAGCTTCCCAAAGTGCTGGGATTACAGGCGTGAGCCACCATGCCTGGCCATTTAATTTTAATTTTAATTTTTTTGTCAGACAGGGTCTCACTGTGTCACCCAGGTTGGAGTGCAGTGGCACCATCAGGGCTCACTGCAGCCTCAACCTTCCCAGGCTCCGGTGGTTCTCCCATCTCAGCTTCCCAGGTAGCTGGGACTACAGGTATATGCTACCATGCCTGGCTAATGTTTTGTAGAAATGGGATCTTGACATGTTACCCAGGCTGGTTTCCAATTCCTGGACTCACACCACCCTCTGCCTCACAAAGTGCTGGGATTACAGGTGTGAGCCACCATGCCTGACCTGCCGCTCCTATGTGGTTCCAATTATTTATGAGGGGTTGTGCAGAGAAGCTCTCCAGCTTTTACTCCCTGCAGCTGTGTGGCCTCGGGCCAGTTCGTCTGGGAAGGTGCTTCTGCTGCACAGGTATAGCACGCAATGAACGGGGGCTGTTGTCATGACAACCACTGCGCTGATGGTGGTGCTTCCCCCTGATTCTGATTGGCAGGTTTGCTGAAGGGCTGGGGCGCTTCCTCCTGAAGGGGATTCTATGAACCCCCCAGAGAAACACTCCTGCACGTCACAACGTTCCCGCTCACACTCTTGTCTTCTCTTTCCTACCAGATTCCAAATTCCCTTCCCAAGAGGTGCCGGAACCTGTGTGTCCCAGCTGCAACCAATAGCGAAGTGAGCGAGACGTGTCCCTCGTCCGTCCAGCCAGTCAGCACCTGAACCGCTCCTCGCACGCCAGGAGGCTCCAGATGCGGGCCTTCCTCCTGGCAGCCCGGCAGCTTTGCATCTGTAAGGCGGATGTGACTGCAGTGGGCCTTTCAGTGTTACATAACTCACTCCAGCGTATTGCAGAAAGAGCGAGGAAAAGAAAGAGACTGCACTTGTTAGGGGCTGAGCGTTTGGGTGGGAGTGCCGCCCCCAGATTGACATGTCGGAGTCCCAACCCCCCACACCGCAGAAGGGGACTGCCTTGGAGAGGAGGTCCTCACAGAAGTGACTGAGTAACCTGAGATCACTAGGGTGGGCCCTGATCCCATCTGACTGGTGTCCTCGTAAGAAGAGCAGATGAAAACACAGACACACACAGAGGGACGGCCCTGTGAGGACACAGGGAGGAGGCGGTATTTACATGCCAAGGAGAGCCCTCCTTGGAACCAGTGCTGCCAGCACCTTGATCTTGCCGGTCCAGCCCCCAGGATGTGAGAGGATCCGGGTGTGTGGCCGAGGCACTGCAGCCTGCGTGCTGTGCACAACAGCTTCAGCACGTCAACAAGGCTGAGAAAACCCTTGTCCCTGTGGCCCCCACTGCCAGAGGCCACCGCACAAGCACGGGGCCGTGGTCTCCCTGCTGTCAGGAGTCTGCTCCATGCTGTGGAGCCTTCCAGGAGACTGGAGCTTCTCAGGCTGGGTGCACAGGAGAGCCATGGCAGGGCAGGGCTCCTGTGACAGGGCCTGCCTGGGTGGGGTTGCCAGGTACAGCCCTGTTGAGTAAAGGACTCCAAGGAGGTGGATTTGTAGAGGGGAGACTCAGGGACAGGACTTCAGAGAAACTTGTCAGTGGCTTTCCCAGTTCAAATTCACCTGATCCTCGCAGAGACCTGAGACCAGCCATGCCGTGCCCACCGCTGCCTTTGACCATGCAGAAGGCAGAGGCTCCGAACAAGACAGTCTGCCCCCAGCAGAAGCCCCGCAGTGACGGCAAGCACGCAGACTCCTCCTCCAGCCTGGCCACCCCTCCCCACAGGGTGTGTCCGGAGGCAGAGGGGGCCTGCGGTGGCGGGGGGACCCATGCCCCCCACCCCTCGCTGCACTGCGCTTAGAGGGTGGGCACCGGAGACTGCGCTCTCCCCGCCCTGGTGGAAAAGAGGAACAAAAACAAATTTTACGAGACCAGGTTCAGTCTATGGCCTGTCCCGACACTGAAGAAGGGGTTTATTTTTAGTGTAATGACAGGACCAGGGACATTAGGAAATTAACCAGAAGAGAACTGAAAGGGAGGGAAAGGCCCTGACATTCCTCTTCTGGTGTTTCCAAGAAGTGACGCTGGCTTGTGTTTAGTGGCCTGTGAGGTGCCCCAGGCAGGAGGGGCGTGGTCTGTGTGGAGGGGCGTGGTCTGAGTGTCCCCATCTGACATTCTCTTTCTCCCAGAAGTAGCTCTTCTGCTATTTGGAGTTTTGCATTTTTTTTTTTTTTTTTTTTTTTTGAGATGGAGTCTCGCTCTGTCGCCCAGGTTGGAGTGCAGTGGTAACAATCTCATCTCACTGCAGCCTCTGCCTCCCAATCAAGCAATTCTTCTGCCTCCGCTTCCTGAATAGCTGGGATTTCAGGCACCTGCCACCATGCCCAGCTAATGTATTTTTGTAGAGATGGGGTTTCACCATGTTGACCAGGCTGGTCTTGAACTCCTGACCTCAAAGGATCTGCCCGCTTCAGCCTCCCGAAGTGCTGGGATTACAGGTGTGAGCCACTGTGACCAGCCTTGAAATTTTTTTGGGGGGGTGGCCGTGCACTGAGAGCCAGTTTATTTGATGAATGCTGTCGGCAAACATCATCTTAGACAAGGCGCTGTGACGAGAGGCCCTGGGGAGCCTCAGGCTGGACACAAGATGTTACCCAGGGAAAGGCCGGGGCTCTGGGGTGGCTGGGAAGGCCCTCAGTCATTCAGCCTCAGGCGGAAGAGCGCTTCAGGGTCGACACAGCCATCGCGGTCCTCATGGGCGCCACCAGCGTCTCCTTTCCTCCTCTGTCATCTTTTCACCCAGTGTGACAAGAACATGCTGGATTTCAGCGCCCAAGATGGCGCTATTTCCTCCCTGGTCAAAATCCTGAAGTCCTTCAGCGTAATCCTCACAGGCACCCTGGTCCTTGGCGGCCGTCTGCAGCTTGGGCAGGGAGTGCCCACAGCCCAGCACCTTCACGTGCACCTCTTCGCTCTTGGGGTTCCCCAGGACGTGGAGCACCTCGCCTTGGTGATGAGGAAGGAGACCCCTTTCTCTTAAGCTTGTAAAACCACTTCCCCTTAGCCTTGAATTTCAAAAGGAGAAGTAAAAGTCACAGGTCAGTGGAGGAGACAAAACCAAGGCCACCAGCCAGACCTGAAGGTTAAAGGTCAACCCCACCCCGCTCCGCCCGCGCCCCAGTTCCTATCTTGTCTGCGGATCATAGGCGTGGCCTGGAGGACTCTTCCCCGGAAGGCACTGTTCGTGCTTCATCACGATTAGACCCCACCGAAGTCACCTGCCCCTCGCTCACCTCATCAGTCACGACCCTCTCATGTGTACCCTCTGATTGTGAGCCTTTAAAAGACCAGGATTTTTCTAGTTGGGGAGATTGGTTCTTGAGATGCGGGTCAGCCGACTCCCGACCGGATGAAAAGCCACTTCCTTCCCAGTTTGGCCTTCGTTTGACAGGTGTGTTTGCCTCGAGCCAGACTGGGCCCCGTGGGCCTTGGGCAGGGCTGGATGGTAAAGTTGTCGAGTGAGGCCTCTCAGAACTGGAGAGCCCTCTTCTGGGCGTGGAGGAGGGCAGGGCGGCAATCTGCCATTTGGTCTTGGGATCGGCTCTCAGGCTCCATTTGCTTATCTGTGAGGCCAGATGTCGGCAGTTCAGGCTGAGAATTAGAGCGAATAAGAAGTGGGAGCCCCTTTCCCAGGCTCAAACCCACCGTGGACATCAACAACCAAAAAGGCCAGGCACAGGGGCTCACACCTATAATCCCAGCACTTTGGGAGGCTGATCACTTGAGATGAGGAGTTTAAGACCAGCCTGGCCAACATGCTGAAACCCCATCTCTACTAAAAATCCAAAGATGAGCCGGGTGTGGTGGTGGGCGCCTGGAATCCCAACTACTCAGGGAGGCTGGATGAGGCTGGGGAATCACTGGAACCCAGGAGGTGGAGGCTTCAGTGAGCCAAAATTTTGCCACTCCACTCCAACCTGGGCGACAGAGCAAGTCTCTGTCTCAAACAAAACAAACAAAAAAATGCTTTTCCTCTTCTCATTTCTTACAGAAATCCCCTCTCTGGACAAATACTACTCAAGGTCAGAACCTCCCCCTGCCCCGAGTTTTCATTGAGAAGACTGAGGAGCCGAGTCTCTTTCTTTTCTTTCTTTTTTTTTTTTTGAGACGGAGTCTCACTCTGTTGCCCAGGCAGGAGTGCAGAGGCGTCCTGGCTCACCACGACTCTCTTAATCTCCAACCCCATCACCAGGTCAGGAGAAGCTGCTGTGCTGTGGTTGCGCTGGCTTAGAGCCAGGTGGCCTGCCTCTGCCACCCCTTGTGCTGGCAGATAAGACACGATGGTCAGTTGTGCCTCAGTTTCCTGAAAGGCAAAATGGATGTCAGTCATCTCTACCTTGTGGCCGGTTTTGGTTAATGAAATAATCTATGCATATAACAAGGGCTCATTTACTGAGAGGGTGGGTGGCTGACTTCCAGCTCCCTTTAAATGTTGCTCTGAGTGTCTGCGCACCTGCAGCTCTCCAGGGGCTTGGCTCAGGTCTCAGTGATCACAGATTCTAATGAAGAAAGGCCCTCTCTGTTGTCCAGGCTGGAGTGCAGGGGACATGTTCATGGCTAACTGCATGGGGTCAAGTGATCCTCCCACTTAGGCTTTCTGAGTAGCTGAGACGCATGTGTGAGCCACCACACACAGCTAATTTTAATTTTGTTTTCCAGACTGGTCTATCAGAGACGTTTTACACCACTGAGACAAACATGATATTTGGGGGTGACATAAAAGCTCAAAGTGAGGCTGAAGGAGCCATCCGATGTTTCAATGACGAGGTGCATCAGAATTCATTTTTAGTAAGTGGGCAGAGCTGGGCAGCTCATACCTCTAATCCCGGCATTTTGGGAGGCCGAGGCGGGAGGATCGTTGAAACCCGGAGTCTGAGAGCAGCCTGGGTAACATAGTGAGACCTCATCTCTACTAAATAGACAGCTGGGTGTGGTGGTGCAAGAGGCTGAGGTGGGAGGATCCCTTGAGGGATCCTGCAGTGAGCTGTGATCACACCACCGCACTGCGGCCTGGCTGACACAGGGAGACCCGGATTCCACTGTGATCACACCACCGCACTGCGGCCTGGCTGACACAGGGAGACCCGGATTCCACTGTGATCACACCAGCGCACTGCGGCCTGGCTGACACAGGGAGACCCGGATTCCACTGTGATCACACCACCGCACTGCGGCCTGGCTGACACAGGGAGACCCGGATTCCACTGTGATCACACCACCGCACTGCGGCCTGGCTGACACAGGGAGACCCGGATTCCACTGTGATCACACCACCGCACTGCGGCCTGGCTGACACAGGGAGACCCGGATTCCACTGTGATCACACCACCGCACTGCGGCCTGGCTGACACAGGGAGACCCGGATTCCACTGTGATCACACCACCGCACTGCGGCCTGGCTGACACAGGGAGACCCGGATTCCACTGTGATCACACCACTGCACTGCGGCCTGGCTGACACAGGGAGACCCGGATTCCACTGTGATCACACCACCGCACTGCGGCCTGGCTGACACAGGGAGACCTGGATTAAAATAATACATTTATACAGGATAAAATGTGTGCTTATGATAAACCTGAACATTACTACCTACCATACATGGACATTTTATTGTGATAACATTTCTTTACCCTGCCCTGTCAGTATCACATCTTTCCAGAGCTTTCTGGATTTGTATCTGCCTATATTGATTTGTCTGTTTGTTTTGAGACAGAGTCTCACTCTGTCTCCTAGGTCAGAGAGTGCAATAGTCAGATATAGGCTCACTGCGACCTCTGCCTCCCGGGTTCAAACGATTCCCTGTCTCAGCCTCCTGAGAAGCTGGGATCACAAGCATGAACCACCACACCCAGCTAATTTTTCCATCTTGTTTAGTAGCGTTTCACCACATTGGCCAGGCTGGTCTTGAAACCCTGACCTCAAGTAATCCGCCTTGGCCTCCCAAAGTGCTGGGATTATAGGTCTGAGCCACTGCACTGGCCATTTTTTACAAAAAATAAAGCAAATTGTTGTATCTTCATTGCACTGCACTGTTTTTATTTCTTAACAGATCCTGGAGTCTATCATATCAGCGTACACAGAATTATCACATTAAAACTATAGAAAAACGTTTTAAATTAAAAATGCTAAATGAAGGTTCTAGTTTATTTAACCAAGTGTGTGGTTGTTTTCAGGTGTCCGGTGATTATAGGTGAAGCTGTAACCCACACATCCTGAAGGTGCCTATGGGAAGTTATTGGGGGCACGGATTACCTGAAGTGACATGATGGGTGAGAGGTTTTACACATGGTGAATTCCATGAGCTTTGCAAATCTTAACTCCTTTTTCGAGAATAAGGAAACTGTGAGTAGGACAGGTGCACAGTACTTTCATTTTATTTTAGTTTAGGTATTTTCTGAAATAATTCGAGGAGGCTTAAAAGGAGGTGCAGGCTGGGTGTGGTGGCTCATGCCTGTAATCCCAGCACTTTGGGAGGAGGAGGAGGAGGAGGAGGAGGGAGAATCACTTGAGCTCAGGGTTTTGAGATCAGCCTGAGCAAGGCCGTGAGACCCCATTTCTACAAAAAAGTGTAAAAAATTAGTCAGACATGGTGGTGTGTGCCTGTGGTCCCAGCTACTAGGGAGGCTGAGGTGGGAGGACAGCTTGAGCCCTGGAGTTTAAGGCTGCAGTGAGCTGTGGCTGTGTCACCGCACTCCAGGCTGGTGACAGAGCAAGACCCTGTCTCCATAATAATAATAGAAAAAAGGGGGCACAGTAGGTAGTGTCAGCACGTGGTATTTTAAATGGTTTTCCAGTAAAGCGCACCCAAACTCAGCAAGTCCAGCCTGGGCCCGAGGACCTGAGCAGGTGCCGGGTCAACGAGGTCCCGAGTGCAGGACGCGAGCGGAGCGGACCCTGGTGGAGCCCGCAGCGGGCCCAGCCCTGACAGCGGCACCCGCGCGGCCTCCCGGGTGGGTTCTGGGATGGCCGCCGGCCAAGGGCAGGGGAAGGGGCACGGGAGCCGCGGTCCTGGGGCTAGGGCGGCTCCGCGGCCCGGAGGGGACTCGCCAGACAGCTCCGGGGACCCCCGCCCCGCCAGGGTCAAGCGTCGCCACGCGGTCGCCTGCCAGGGGCCGACTATGCAGAAGTCAGAGGGCGCGGCGCGTGGGCTGAAACGCGATCCTCGCGCGGAGTCGCCGCTCGCAGGGCAGGGCCGGCCCCACCGAGCCCGCCGCGGGGCGACCCGACCCGACCCCGACCCGACCCCGACCCCCGGCCAACGCGGGAGGGGCTCACGCCCCAAACTGCCCCGGGGCCAACGGAGACCCTGGCCCTGGAGATGCCGGGCTCAGGCAGAGCTCGGAGGCCCCTCCCGGCCCCACCCCGCGCCTCGGCCCCCTCGGCCCCGACCCGGTCCTGCCCCCGATCCCGTCCGCGGGAGCCCTCGCCGCACCCCAGCCCGGTCCTCCGCCGCCTGCCCCAGTTCAGCCTCGACCTCCCCGATCCCCGCGCCCCCCGCCCCCCGCACCCAGCCCTGTCCCAGCACCGCCCGTTAGCGGATCCCACCGGCCGCCCCAGCCCGCCCTCTCCCTCCGCGCGCGTCCCCCGCCGCGTCCCCCCCATGGCGTCCCCCCCCGCGTCCTCCCGCGCGTCCCTCCCCCCCGCGTGTCCCTCGGCCGCCCCGCGCGCGCCGGCGGAACTGTGGGATCGCCGCGCACAGGAAGTGGCGGCGGCGGCACGGCCGAGGGCGGAGGGCGGAGGGCGGCGGGATGGGGGCCGGGGGCGGCGGGCGCCGCACTCGCTGAGGCCCCGACGCAGGGCCGGGCCGGGCCCAGGGCCCAGGAGCGCAGCGGCCGGAGCGGGGCCGCGGAGGCGACGCCGGGGACGCCCGCGCGAGGAGCAGGTGGCGGCTGCCGCAGGTGAGCGCCGAAGCCCCCGCCCCAGGTCGGGCCGCCCCCCACTCAAACCCCTCCCCGCCGCCGCCCGAGGTCGTCCTCCCGCCGCCCGAGGTCGCCCTTGCCCCCGCCGCCAGACCTCGGGCCGCCCGGGGCCCCGCGCGGCATTGGGCCGGCCGCGCTCCGCGGGGCGCGGGGCCTGGGAAAGCGCGGGGCCAGGAGGGGTCCAGCCCGGGTCCTGTGCGCCCCCCGCAACCCGGGCCTCCCGGGTGGGCCTGGTCCGGCCCGAGGCCCAGGTCCCTTCCCGCGGCAGCCTCGGTGGCGCTGGGCTCGGCGGGAGGCCCGGGGGTTGGGGCGCCCCGGGAGGGGCCCGGGCCGGGGCCGAGGGAAGGTGAGTGAGTTTCCGCGGGGGCGTCCCCTCCCCTCCGCCCTGGACTCCGCTCCCGGCCTCGCTCCGTTCCCCGGTGGACGGCACGCGCCCGCCGCCTGGTTTCGGGGCGCGGGGGACCCGGAACTCCCCAGGGGCCTCCTCCCCGCTCGTCCAGGCCGAGGGACAGTTTCACTTTTAGCCGCTCCGCGCGGGGACGGGGCTGCGGGGACCCGGCTGTGGAGCCCAGGGGAGGCCGGCGGCGTCTTCACACCCGGCGGGTCAGGGGAGGGTGTCAGCCCAGGAGCCAGAGCCATGGGGGCGAAAACCCACCCCCGGCCACCCCAGGACCCTTGGCACAGCGGTCCAGAAGCACTTAGGAAAAGAGGATTATTAGTATTTGAAGCTGGTTCAAAATTGTGTGTGTTTAACTTTGAGAGAAGTTTAGTGAAATAGGGAAAATGCTTTTATAAATGGCTTTCCAGACCTTTTTTGTTAAAAAGAGAAAAGCAGCACAGTATTAAAAGCCTTGTCTAAGAGAATGCTGAAGCGGTTGCGTTCTTTTTCCTGGGAAACATGAACTTAGCAGAAGGAAAGAGGTGCGCTGCTGGCCTCCAGACAGGGGGTGATGAGCCTGCGGCTCCTGTTAAAAATGAAAGCCAACGCCGAGCCAAGTGCAGGCTCCCGCTGGGGGCTGGGAGGGGCGGGCCGGGCTGGGAGCGGGACCCCGGCTGCTGCGGTGCCGGGCTCCGACTCGCTTATCTTCGTCTTCGGGGTGTGAAAGCTTCAGAGGGGTCTCCCCGGGATGCTGAGCGCTAATTTGGTCACTTCCTGGCTGCTCCTCCTCTTCCTTCCCAGGTAATCCTGAGCACCTCCTCCCCCACAGAGGTCAGACTCAGCCAGTCCCTGTGACAACTGGCTTCTTGTATCCATTTCTAGTGACTCTTAGGTGTCTTCTTGAGGACATTGTTTAAAAAGCAGCTTCACGCCATTGACGTTCACGTGAACAGGGCCCCTTGGCCTTGGAAGGTGTGGAGGCCTTAAATGTTCTGAAGCCAACTTCATGGAGTGGCTGCCCTCAGTGGTCACCCTACCTGCGTGTGGCCTTGTCCTGGCATATCTGCCAGGGCGACGCGTGGCGTGGCAGCAGCCTGAAGAGTGTGAGAGTAGGGTTAAAGGCAGTGTGGCCAGATGGGAAAGTCCCCAGGCGTGTAGATTCTAGAGCAGGCCTCCCTGTAGGGAGGGTGTCACCCCGCCCCAGGCTGGTGCCCAGTGCAGACTCAGTGCCTGTGCATGAGTCTGTGTGCCAGGGCTGGGGAAGCAACCTGAAAGGAAGTAATTGTTTTATTTTAGAAATTAGGAAAAAGCATTCACCAAAGTAATCTGTTCCGTCCCTGCTGTAGACCCGTGACTGACGCACCTGCCTCCCATCCCCCCGCACTTTGACCGGGTAAACAAGTGTTCTGGCAAGCCAGGGCTTGAGATACTTGCCCCAGGTTCTGTCTGGGATCAGCAGGGCTGACTTGAGGCTTCCATCCCTGCGACTCCCGCCTCCACAGACCCATCCTGGTGCTGCCATTCTGGTGAGATCAGAGGTGGTGGGATATGTTGAAATTCTCATCAGGGGAGAGAAAGATCAGAATGTGTTTGGGAAGAGCCTGATTTCCTGGATTCCTTTGGTGGAGGGTGTCCTTAACTCGCCCAATCACATTTACCCTCTTCATGGACCTGGAGCCCCACTTGGGACTTCCCAGTGCAGACCCCATCCATCCATGCTGGGGCTTGGCATTGAAGAGCCAGTGCAGGCCCCTTGTCCCCATCAAAACCCACCTCTGGTAAATTCAGTGGCTTGTTCTTCCACACGTCTCCTCCTTCTCTGGCCTTGTCAAAACCTCTTGTGATTGCACAGTTACAAGTTATCCAAGTTATGGCTGGCCTGGTGTTTCTGGATCACAGCATGACTGGCTACATTGCACTGTTTCCTTTTGAATGATTTGTTTAATGTGGGAGCTTTAGCTGCTCCATCTCACTGCAAGATTTTTGTTACAGTAAAGTTGGACTGAATTTTCTGAAGACAGTTGCTCCGAGATTTCGTGGGACTTTACTTTGGGTTAATGGAGGAGTGTTTGGGCTTTTAAACGGGTCACGTCAAGTGCTGAAGTTACATGACCATGAGCTGTCTGTTCCTAAAACCACCTCATAATAATTTCAGGATTAATTCTGAGTCACTAATTTCAGAATGCTGCATTTTAGGCAGATGCGTTAGGGGTTCGCCTTCTGACAGGTTTTCATTTAGTTGCTTAGAAGTCACATGTTTTGGCCGGGTGCGGTGGCCCACACCTGTAATCCCAGCACTTTGGGAGGCCGAGGTGGGTGGATCATGAGGTCAAGAGATCGAGACCATCCTGGTCAACATGGTGAAACCCCGTCTCTACTAAAAATACAAAAAACTAGCTGGGCACGGTGGCGCGTGCCTGTAATCCCAGCTACTCAGGAGGCTGAGGCAGGAGAATTGCCTGAACCCAGGGGGCGGAGGTTGCGGTGAGCCGAGATCACGCCATTGCACTCCAGCCTGGGTAACAAGAGTGAAACTCCGTCTCAAAAAGAAAAAAAAAAAAAGAAGTCACATGTTTTGATTATCTTTGTCAAGCAAAGTGCAGGAGACAGGCCCCCTAGTAAGCTTGGACTGCCTGTGTTTAGTTTTGGGGGCAGGAAGGCAGAGGTGATGGGGAAGGTTGGCGTCAGTTGTTTCTGCAGGGCCAAAGTCTGTACCTGGCCGTTAGGATACACGGATGCCCACGTCAGATTGGGAATGTGGAAGAAAGTTCATCTTTCCGCAAGCCTCGGTAGAAGGATTGCAGATAGGATACCTTTGAAATGTTACTGGTGGCGAACTGAAAGCAACAGAAGTATCCTTCAGTGTGTGACAGGCAGAAATCCTCCTCCTGGCTGGTGCTCATGGTGGGATGGTGTGCCCGCAGCCTGGAAGCCTGTCCCCCAGTGATCGGGAAGGCCATGCATCATTGCTGGAGTTGGTCTCGATTCCTTTCTGCAAGTGGGCAGGGGATGAAATGCAGAATAAGTAGCAATAATGATGAATTATACAATGAGCAGTTGTAATAAGCTGTACATGGAAATGCTGGTCCCGAGATGGATGGCTCACCCGACTGTCTGTCCTCCTGGTTCTCAGCCAGGTGCCAGGAGCTGAGCGCCAGAGCTGCAGCCATGGTGGCTCTGCTTCTCTTCCTCATGTCCTGTTTGCTGACCTGACATTAAATGAGTCACCTGCTTTATGACATGCCGACCTTATTATTCTATAAGCACCTGTACACCCCTGTAAGGAGAGGGGTTTTACCCCGTCACACAGAAACTGACAGACACCTGGGAAACTGAGTGGGAAGGCGTGGCCAGCATCTCAACTCTGGAAAATCTAGATTTAAACAAGGGTCTGATAGAGTCCAAAGCTGTCATTCTTTCTACCAGACCACCTTGATGCTCATAAAATCCAATAGATGAAAATCTGCATTTCTGAAACAGAGACAAAGTCGTTAGCTTCGCATACATGTATTCATTTAAACCCTTCTCACTTGTAGAAGGCTGCACTTGCTGGATGGGGGGCTCTGAAACCCCCATCTGAAATGATAGATACATGCTGGATATGGTAGGGAATGTGGAAGAAAGTTCATTGACGTAAATTCGTCTGTGCTCAGCTTTTTGTGGTATTCTTGTTGAGAGTAAAATAAAGAGCTGTTTATTGACTCCTAACGTGAAGAATGTGCTGATTGGGTTAAGCTTTCCTAGATTGATTTCTGATTTAGGCCATTGTCCTAGTCTAATTGGAGTGATTGATTGAATGAAAACATGTGCGTTTTACTAGGGAGGTACACATGCTCTGTGCACGCATTGAGAAATTAATTAGTCGCTATACTTTGTAAAATATGGTGTAAAACCATTGAGTTTTGCCAAAATAGAAGTCAGGTTGTTACATGAAGACTTTATCAGTTTGGGTTACGTGCTTGTCAGTTTGGGAAGTAGGTGCCAAGATGAAATGCAAATTGCAGGAGGAAACAGAGGGTGAGATGGGAGCAGGGTGGGGGGGGGTCTGATCCCTGCAGAGGGTGAGATGGGAGCAGGGTGGGGGGGGTCGGATCCCTGCAGAGGGTGAGATGGGAGCAGGGTGGGGGTGTCTGATCCCTGCAGAGGGTGAGAGGGGAGCAGGGTGAGGGGGGGGGTCTGATCCCTGCAGAGGGTGAAATGGGGGCAGGGCAGGGGGCACGCAGACCTCCAGGCAGGTCTGACCCTTGTGAGAGGAGGCAGAGGGAGCAGGGTGGGGAGGAGGAGCCTCAGACCCAGGCCTGCATTAGGCACAGCCAGCCCAGTGCTGAGTCCTTGGGCTGAGTTGACCTCCAGGGGAGCCCTGCTTCTCTCAGGCCTGGCCCTGCATGAGTATCACCTTGGTTGTTGCCCCTGAAGGGGTCCTGAAGGTGTCTTGGCGAGGAGGCTGTGACTCACCTGTCTCCTCGCCTGTCACCTTGAAGCCACTCTCTCTGGCAGAGCTCCATGGCAGCCTCAGAAACAAAGTTTAGGGACCTAAAATTTTATGCGTTTATTTTAGAGATGGGGCCTTGCTGTGTTGCCCAGGCCAGACTCAAACTCT